TACTGTTTTGTGTTGCTCTTTGTTGACCTACGGCCTCTGACATCAGGCAAACTTCCAGGTAAGGGTCAAGGGTCGGAGTTCATGGCCAGTCTTACCCCCTCGGCTGGAGCTTCACTCTATACCTGTTCACTGGCTCAACATGGATAGACAGTTGTTTTCTGGACATGTACAAAATGCATGCAAGCAGGAAGGTGTCTTTTGTATTGCCTTTGAGCATACGTTTTGGGTGTTGAGTCAATACTTCGCACTTTCATATATTTTTTTTCAAATAAATGTAAAAAGCACTGCATGTGATGGCTTTATTAATAGTCAGAATGACAATACACAATCATGCAATATTCCTTGCTCAGTCATGTCACCATTTTTTTTTCATGCAACATTTTGAAAATGTTTGGCAGTCACAGAGGGGAATATTTTTTCACAACTCACTCAGAATTTTATTTGCTTTTTTCGACTAAGTTTTCTTTCTTTCATTTCGGTCTGTCTGCCCACACCCGAAACTCATCCAACTTTGCTGTCCTTATGTTACCCACTGTCCGCAACTGTTTTTTTTAAAAGGAATTTGTAAACATCCACTAAAAATGACTTAATGCTCAGGGCAAAAGAAAAACAAAATGGAGATTTGACAAGAAGAAAATTATTACTTTTTTTCCTTCCTGCATGTATGTATGTAAAAAAAAACACAAACACATCTAGAATCTTCCTAGTGGCGGAAATTAATATTTTCATGTTATCTTCTTGTTGTAGGGAATGCCCGAGTCTTGGGCCCGGCTCCTTCAGACTTCTAACATCTCTAAGATGGAGCAGAAGAAGAATCCTCAAGCCGTTCTGGACGCGCTGAAGTTCTATGACTCCAGGGACAGGGAGATCAGTGAAACCAAGTACATGACAGTCTCCAAGAGTGTCTGTAAGTAAAATACAACATGTACAACTTATAAGGAAGGGACAAGAGCCTTCACTGCCAGGGTTGTCAAAAAGCGCCTCCTGTTGATGTGTGTTGTGAAGTGCAGGAAGTCCCTGATGAGACATTATAGGCCTAGGGAAAATATTCTGTTTTTTTATTTCTCAGCTTATTATTGGCAATAGGCCTCTTATAAATAAATGGTAATAAGATAATAAATGATACAAATGATAATTATGTTTTTAAAGTACAGTCAAGGCATGTTTTTACCAAAAAGTAGTAGGGAGTCTATGCTGCCATCATATTGATATGTATTGTGAACATAAGTATTACTAAGTATTCTTGCTAAGAAACCCTGTTTTTATCTTCCAGCGTCAGTTAACAGTAGGCCAACACTAGAAAACAAATTCCAGACTCAAGCTGTTCTAACGGTAAGTTTTCAGTCCTGTGAATGGATTATAATGTAAGATTTTAAAGACAAGTTGAACGCTTACATTCGCAATACACATTCCAAATCCCAGCATCCCTTGCAATACACATTCCAAGTCCCAGCATCCCTTGCAGCACACATTCCAAATCCCAGCATCCCTTGCAATACACATTCCAGATCCCAGCATCCCTTGCAATACACATTCCAAGTCCCAGCATCCCTTGCAGTACACATTCCGAATCCCAGCACCCCTTACAATGCACATCCCTTGCAGTACACATTCCAAAATCCCAGCATTCCACAATAACATGATGGCTGAGTATGAGCAACAAGCATTACATGACTTGTCAGTTGTATTTGACAACTAACACCAAGTAGTCAATGATAGTGCCTACCTTTTTTTGTGTCTAAGCTCAAAATGTTCAACATATCTTCTTTTGCCTCAGCCTAAAGTTCAGAACCAGGTACCAGAGGAGTCTGATGATGATGATGAAGCGCCTCCCCCTGTAGCCCCACCCCGCCCAGAGTATACCAAGTCTAAGGTACGATACAATCACCTACATGTACAAAATGTACATTTTGTTTTTGTACTCTCAGAACTTATTGCTGAAACTATTTTTTGTTAATGACCTGTAGGTTTACATTTCAGTGCCTCATCTGTAAAAAAGTTGAATTTCAAAGCTGATAGATTTTTGCCATTATATTCAGAATCTATGTTTTGTTGAACAATATTTGGAATAAAAAGACTTGCTTGTTTACACTTTTTATTGTCAATCAATCACTAAGTCTTTCTTTAATGTTTTCTGTCATTCTATGTTTCTTCTGTTGCAATGGATAGTTTAGTGACTTGTCTACTTTTCCTTTTGCTTTTTCTTCTTTAAATTTCTTTTATCTGTCTCTGTGCTTCTCTGTAAAGTCCTCCACACACCTGAAAAGTGCTCCTCAGGTATGGTAGTGTATCTACCAGATGCTTCTCTCTGCTTATTTTCTCCCTTACTTTACAGTCTACTTTCTTGCTTAATTTTGTATTCATGCAGATTTTCTCCCCAAGTTTATCAGAATGATTCTGCAACACACATTGTATTAATTCTTATTTCACTATTGTTTTAAAACATTAAATTCTACTACTTGTTCTAGATAATTCATGGGAAAGACAGTGGATAGTTAAAAAGGTATTATTGAACATTTGAGACAGAATTGGAATGTTGGAAGACAATGTAATGAACAATACCTAGTCTGCTTAAAGTAGCCCTAATTCATGTTGTAAGACCTATCATATACACATGTCAGTTGATACAAAAGAAATAGGGAAGACTTTGACATGTCTCCATACACTAAATGCCTTTAGTCCGTTGAATTTCTCCACAAACCTAACAAATGTTGATGGTTTCTGTTCTGTAGTTGTACACGAGATCAGTGATAGGAGACCAGCTGCCCGCCCCCCTCCCCCTGCCCCCATCTCCCCTCCCCACCCCACTACTGCCACCAACGACGTCGCGCCTCAGAAGCCGCCGGAGAAACCCAAGAAGAAGAAATTCACTGACGAAGAAATCCTGGAAAAGCTTCGTAAGTATATCAGCTATGTGTGTGTAGAGTCATACAGTTGTGTACGTATGTGTTGTTTGTGTGGTTGTTTTCTGTGATGAATGCTTGCTGACTTGCTAGGAAACTTCAATGGTCATCTTGTGCACAAAATAAATTTTAAGCACTCCAGCTTTAGAGAGAAGAAAACCCCCAAAATTTATGACTTTTATTATTTTCTTTTATCTGCAATAAGTTTTAAGGATTGTGACCCTGGCAAGGTTTTTTTAATGTTGCAAAACTGTTTCTATAAGTATAAAACCATTTAAACATTATCAAAGGTCTGTCACAATTAGAATGACCATTTTATTTGAGACATGAGACCAGATTGTAAAGTTTATTTTGTGCCCAAGCCAAATGGATGACCAAATCCTGACACTTACTGTTTGAAGGTTACAGTTAATGACCCCAAGAAGTATATCCATATTGTTCCATTGTAACATTTCAAAACCATTGAATACCAAAGAAACCCATTGCATCTTTTGTGGCATTTCCCAATTGTCAACACACTGGAAACAAAATTATGCAAACAAAGTGCTTGGTGTCATTGTTTAGTGCTGCAGTTTGCAGTTAAAAAATTCTAGTAATACACATTTGAGATAAAAATTTTTACAAAAGTCTCATACGAAAATGTATTTTTGTCAAAGTTGGAAATTGATGAAATTGTTCTCTGTAGTAACGTTCTAACTGCCCTCTAACAGATATGTGTCAGGATGAAAACTGAGTCTTTGTGTCTGCCGTGTCTTAATTATTTATTTGCCAGTTCCTTTTCAGTCACAGATGTCTGCCCCTTGTCTCCGCAAGTTTTTTTTTACTGCCTCATTTTGTCCTCTTGTTTTTCCCGTCCTTGCATGGTCCGTTACATTCATGTTTCGCAACAGTGTGTATTTATCACTTCAGAAATTTCAACAAAATGTTTGAAAAATAACTTCTGCTTTCCGTAAAAAAAGTATCAATGCTGAAACCTGTGTGTGAGTGTTGGACATTCCCCCTTTTTTTCTGTGTCCCTTTATAGAAGTTGCAATCTCTTGCAGTTGCTAGTAGCAAAGCCAACTCTAGATCTAGTTATAAGCCTGCCTGCAAGAGTTGAGTTGCACTAAAGAAGTGATTTCCTTTAGAATACCAGTTTGTTTTTTGTAACACTTCCCTGAAACATTGTCTTTCTTCCCTCCCGTTTCCACACCTCACATTAACGGCTGTCCTGACTCAGGATCTATACGGGGTACTTTTCCAAACTTTCTAACCGGTGTAGCTAGGTGTAGGGTTGCCCAACCTTCTAGGAGTGGCCAAAAATTAATGACTTTTTTTATACAAGAACTAAGTAAAAACTATGTGTAGTCAAGAAATGTAAAGAAAATGGAGCGAAAAGAGCATTTCAGTTTCTAGAGCTGACCAAAAAGATATTAAAGGCATCCAATGCGATTTCAGGGTGGCAAAGCAAAAAATAATTAACATCATTTTATACCTTTAAATTTTTCATGTTTTGAAATAGCCGCAAAACAACCTATGTGAGGAGTTTCTTTATTTTTGGCACCACCAATAAACAACAGCTACCAGTTTAGGATGTGAAACAAGGAACCATTTTGCATCAGTGACATTGCATTTTTGCCTCACAGATCAGTATACTAATCGATGTTACTAAATGATGTTAAAAAAATATTTTCAGGAAGTCCAGTTTTTCTGCCCTGAAATCACCTGGAATGCCTTTAACTGAAAGGTTTTGTTCAAACAACAATATTTACCATATCCCAAGTGCACTATGCCAGGAGAAATGAAACATAGCTTCACCAAAATGAAGCAAGCCAAGCAAAAGTGCCCCAAACACCGAGCCTTTCCCTAGGCCTGGTCAACTCTACTGTACCTCGCTGCCTCTGTCGTCTTCTCAGAAATGGATGTTTCAGTCTGTCGGCATGGTTAAAACTTTTACATTTGCTTCTGCAAACTGTATACCTTCCTGTACTATGCTGAGGTTGCGGCAGTATTCTTTTGCAAATGATTGGCTTTACTGTCAAGGCTCTGTGTTTGCAATGATATTAGTTGTCAAATTAAAGTGTCAGCATGAATAGTTAGAGTTATGAAAGGTTAATTAGCAACTCTGTGTGTGTTGCTGGTGATTTAAGGTTGATGTTAAAGTGATTTGGTTATAACAAGGTGTCATGCAGTGTTTTCCCTCAATAACTCTGTCACTCTGGCTCCCCCTATCTCATCAGACCAAAACTGCAGCATAAAAGAGGGTGGTGCTATATGGGGTCTGAATGGGTGGCACTGGACTTAGATGAGAATTTGTCAAAAGTGATACATGTGTATAGGCTCCTACCAGTGTCCTATATGTTTACATTATGTAGAATAGTCTTATTAATTTTGCAAAATTTAGCTCCTGATTAGCATTTAATTATATTATGTCAATCATTATAATTTAGTTACCAAATACATGCCAAAAATCATGACAATCTGTCAACCATTACTCGAGTTATTATAGCCTTCCAAAGTTGCATTGAACATTTGCCCCTGCAGTTAAAAAAGCTGCTTAGGGGGCCCAAACCCTCAAATTCTTTATACTGTATGAAAGCTGTTCCTAGGTACATGTATGCACGAATTGTTCTACATTAGAACTGTCACTGTTAGAGAAACTGTTGGTAGCAATGCTTGTTGTAATTGGGTCCTAGAGGGCGGTCAGGATGCATTTGATATGGAAAAAAAAGTTTTGTATTTCCAGCATGTTCCATCAGGTTTGTACCCATCATAAAAGTTGGATGTTCATTCATGTCAGTCAATGTCATTCAACCACCATTCTTCCAGGCAAGGCGGCTATGGTTCATGTGTTTGTATTTCAATCTTCCTAAATATGCAAATTACCCACGCAGTAGAGTTTTAGTGCACAACACACTAACCAACCATCTCCTTTTCCAAAAACTCCACTAATCAGTAGACTGGATGTACAGAGTGTTCTCTGCCAAACATCCTGACCACCCCCGTTTACAAAGTGAAGTAGTCTATTTGGCAAGCATTTCTCAATGATTAAGTATCATCAAAGGTAGTATTGGTATGTGATAATGTTACATGAAGAGCAAAAGCACATGTTTATGCACAGCAAAAATACCGTAATGAAAACAAGTACCCCCTTACAACAAGTGGTAGTGTCCGAGATGACTCGCAAGATTGCGTAATCAGGAAGGGTCCATTTTGGGAACAGGGGTGCCAGGGTGTTTGAGCTGTTGAGAGGGAACACTACTTCTTGTCTTTGACTGTCCTTTCTCTTTTTCTGTTGTGCTTCCTTGTTGCCATGGCAACCATAGCCAAGGAGTTAAAAACTCCGCCCTCCTCTACCACCTCCCCCACGTCCTCCTCGTGTACCACGAGCGGCAGCGGCGGCGGCGCCGTCACCATACGGAATAGAAACGACACCCACAAGAAGAAAACTATGAGTTTGGAGGAAATGTTGGAGAGATTACGTATGTTTCTCCTGAGCTCCTCATGCATGCCGCCCCCCTCCCCACCTGTCCATCCGTCCGCCCCTGTACATGGCATGTGCTCCCGGCCCCGTGCTCTGAGGCTGACCAGTGTCAGATACAGGGAAACACTAAGGCTACAAGTTAGGAAGTATAGGGATAAACTTACATGTATAACTTCATGTTTGAACACTTCCACCTCAGATTTATAGTATTTACTTGCAATATTGTTGGTGATTCACTACAAATCACCCAGGCGGAGGCCTGTTTCGTATCAGCCACCTCTAAATATGCAAGCTATAGCAAAAGCCACATTGCACTGTATTCTACATTGTAGTAGCTATTTAAAAAGGATCATGCTTCACCTCAGTTGAGGAAGACAAAAGACAAGTGTGCTTAGTTTCTAAAAGGTTATAATCTCAGCCCCTTTATTTGCACGTGTCACATTTTCTTTGTAAAAGGTTTGTCAAGTATCTTGAATTGCACCAACAATCTGATGTAGTACAACAATTATCACAAACATATTATGTAATGAAGATTAAATCAGAATCATATCAGGTATTCTAACCATATACAAATGTAGCACACCAGGAATCTGTTATAAACATCACAGGTTATTTACTATATATACATGTGTATAATAGGTCTACCTGATTAAAACTCCCATATTGAGACAACAGCAATTTAAAAAGCAACTTTTGTAGACAACAAACAACTTCTATATCATGATTGTGTCTGAATCTCATGGTAAACATAAATGTAGCATATAACAAGATTTATACATCAGACATACATGTAGAGACTATCAAACTTACATAACAAAATTTTCATCAAAATCTACTTGTATAGCACTGTATTAGCAGATAAATAAAACATAACATTGAATAGCTCAACACTTACATGTATAATAGGTAGAGCTACATGTAGCCTATGGAAGTTGAATAGGATGGTAGTACAGACTGTAGCAGTTCTCATGAGCGCGGGCGCCCGGCCACCCTGCATGATCTAGCCATATGTTTGCTGTCCCGTGCTTGTATGAGTCGTTCCTGTCTTGTGTGTGACGTAAAATCAGCACTAACTTCTTTTTTTCTTTCCACAGTGCATGAAAATATCCATCTGTGTGATTTTGGTCTCCCCCTCCCAGACTTGTCCACTCTGACATTGTGTATACTATTACAACTATATACCGTTTAGACTAGATCTGAGTTTTGCATGACATTCTGAGTATTGTCTTGCCTTGTATCCCATAGAAAACAGGATGTACATGTACATACAATTTTGATATAATCCTAGCATTCACTACAGTTGTGACTCCTACGTGTATTTTTATGACAACTAACATAACTAATTCATTTTACTTTACAATTTTATACCATTTTGGCTTCACAGTCTGAAAAGTTTAACTTGGTAGCTAAACTTGGTTTTAATGTTATTAAAAACAATAATGATAAAAATATGTAGCTTTCTGGACAACATTTTCTGACAACTGTAGTGATAGCAGGGTTATTATCATCACACCACACCTTTGTTGTAATATCGAGCCGCCTTGTCTTGTCCTGGTCCATGTGTTATGCTATATAATACCTATTCATAATGCTGGAATATTGGCAGTGTGTTTAACATGTCATTTATGTCATTGTGCTGGGTCCAGTGTTGCAGCTTTTTTTTTAATATTGAATCTGTGTACAGAGAAGATTTTGACCACGGCACTACTAAAAGCATCAACTTAAAATTTTTGATGGAATTTAAACATCTCAGTTTTGCATTATCCTTTGTAATAAGAACAGTACAGATCTCAAATAACTTCTCATCTATACGACGGTCGTGTGCTAATTGCAATCAAAAGTCTGATGAAGCTTGATTAAAAACCATGCATTTCTCAATTAAAACGTGTGCAAAGGCTGTGAATGTCTTATTAAATCTTGGCACAAAATTTGCTGTGCTGGATCATATTATGATGGTTAAGACTTGTCTGTACACAAAAGCTCACCCCCATGTCTGTCTATGTGCACACACTGCCTGTTGTGTTGCCAATATTCCAGTACGTCTGTAGTACAGTAAGCAGTAACGTGTTGTTGCCCCCCTCCCCACAGGTAGCATAGTGAGTGTGGGAGATCCCAAGAGGAAGTACACCAGGTTTGAGAAGATTGGTCAAGGGTGAGTTGAGCTCTTCTAGCTGTTACCTCCAGTACGTACATACATACAGGGGTTTTGTTTTGGGTGTACATGTATAAGTGTTTGTTTAATTGTTTGTCTAACCAATCCTAGTTTCTTCGGAAAGTTTTCTCAGGCATAATTGATAATGAGAAAAAGTTGCAGTGTTTATATTGAATGACGTAAAACTGTGTAGCATTTTAATAAGCAAAACATTCGGAACACTTTCACCTGTAGACGAAACTAAGAACAACTAGGATATGCCTTTTGTGCATGAGCTACATTTGTACTGTGATGCTCAATACAAGTATGTTTTAATTCCCATCAAACAGAGCATCTGGAACTGTGTACACTGCCATTGAGACTGCTACAGGACAGGAGGTAAGGGTTCATGTTCATGAATTGTAAACCAGTAAGTCTTCTTACATGTTGTACCATACTCATACATGAAGCACGTTAGTAACTTTTAATAATCTTAAAAGTACCACAGGGCTCGAAATACTGGGTGCATGTGCACCTTAGTGCACCCAAAATTGCAGCTGTGCACCCAGTTTTTTTTTTCTGAGGGTGCACCAGTGCAGCGAAGTATTTTTGTAGGTCTTGGTATGTAAAGATGTTGAATATGTCGTGTTGTAGTATAGTAGTATACAGCATATTCTGAACATCTAAGTGTTGAAAAAATTATGAAATCATTGCTAGTAATTTTCTTTAGAAATGAAACATAATTAGTGTTTGCTGATATTCTATTTATTTTATCTTATATCTTAAAAAATTACTGTGCACCCAATTTTGTAGGTTGGGTACACCAGTGCACCTATTCCTAAATATGAATTTCAAGCCCTCTACCAGAAAAAGGTTAATTAAGAAGTCATTTTTTGTACATTATGAAGAAAAGCTTGGCAGTGTAAAATGCTGGCATGTGTTGCTGTATGTTACCTTGATATGTTACTGACCTTGGTTGCCCCCCTCCCCCTCAGGTGGCCATCAAGCAGATGAACCTGTCCCAGCAGCCTAAGAAGGAGCTCATCATTAATGAGATCCTGGTCATGAGGGAGAACAGGAACCCCAACATAGTCAACTACCTGGACAGGTATACATGGTTATGTTTCATCAGAATAGGAAGCTTTTCTTGTTTTGCTGAGGAAAATAGAATGATACAGCTCTGTCCATGTCTCTGAAAATGCCTGTCCATGGCACTGAAAATGCATGTCCATGGTACTGAAATTCCGTTTACATGATACTGAAAATGCCTCTCTATAGTACTGAAAATGCCTCTCTATGGTACTGAAAATGCATGTCCATGGTACTGAAAATGCATGTCCATTGAAAATGCATGTCCATGGTACTGAAAATGGATGTCCATGGTACTGAAATTGCCTTTCCATAGTACTGAAATTGTCTTTCCATGGTAGTGAAATTGTTTTTCCATAGTACTGAAATTGTCTTTCCATGTTACTGAGATTGTCTTTCCATGGTACTGAAATTGTCTTTCCATAGTACTGAAATTGTCTTTCCATGGTACTGAAATTACCATAGTACTGAAATTGTCTTTCCATGGTACTGAAATTGTCTTTCCATGGTACTGAGATTGTCTTTCCATAGTACTGAAATTGTCTTTCCATAGTACTAAAATTGTCTTCCATGGTACTGAAATTGATTTTCCATGGTACTCAAATTGTGTTTCCATAATACTGAATTGCCTTTCCATGGTACTGAAATTGTGTTTCCATTGTACTGAATTGCCTTTCCATGGTACTGAAATTGTGTTTCCATGGTGCTGAAATTGGGTTTCCATGGTGCTGAAATTGTCTTTCCATGGCACTGAAATTTTCTTTCCATGGTACTGAAATTGTGTTTCCATGGTACTGAAATTATCTTTCCATGGTACTGAAGTTGTGTTTCCATGGTACTGAAATTTTGTTTCCATGGTACTGAAATTGTGTTTCCATGGTACTGAAATTGTCTTTCCATGGTACTGAAATTGTGTTTCCATGGTACTGAAATTGTCTTTCCATGGTACTGAAATTGTCTTTCCATGGTGCTGAAATCGCCTTTTCATGGTGCTGAAATTGTGTTTTCATGGTACTAAAATTACCTCTCCATGGCACTGAAAATGTAATGATGTCCTTTGTACAGCTACCTGGTAGGAGAGGAGTTGTGGGTAGTGATGGAGTACTTGGCCGGAGGATCGCTGACCGATGTCGTGACTGAGACCTGTATGGACGAGGGTCAGATCGCAGCCGTCTGTAGAGAGGTAACGTGCTGCAGTTAACGGTCAAGCTTTAGGCATTAAAAAAGGCTGCTTTTTCATTTAATCAGGATTAATTACTAAAAAATGTAGTCAGTGAATAGATACAAAAACTGAATCCAAATCGGCATTTTTTTTTATAATTCAGCCTTACTTAGTTACTTACCAAATTGTTTCATTCAAACTTGATGTAATTTAAAAAGATTGTTAGTTGATATTCCCCCATCAGTATGAATGTTGTGTGCATAGATTATGATAATTACATGTATGTCTTAACAATGACACAGAGACCTCGTGCTTACTGGCAAGTTTAAAAGAGGAACAGTGCTTTCTGTTCATAGTATTCCAACAACATCCATATACATGTACAACATTAGAGCAAAAGCTTTTTGAATGTAGAGAGATATATTGTAGTTTCTAACAGTTGCACTACTGTTAAAAAGTGATACAAACCAAAATGTTTCACAAGCAGAGAGACCGTTTGAGTGTGTGGAGAAATTCTAGCACCCCCATGACTCCACAGTAAGCACTAACCCTGTCTCCACGTCTGTGGCTGTTCCATGTTCCGTCCGTACAGTGCCTGCAAGCCCTCCAATTCCTGCATAGCAGTGGGGTTATTCACAGGGACATTAAGAGCGACAACGTCTTGCTCGGAATGGACGGCAATGTCAAACTCAGTAAGTCCGAGGTCAACGTGTGGTGCAGCACCTTCCCCTGTTGCCTTTATAACCTGCCACTGTGTACAAAACAGAACTAAATCACATATTCAAAAGAGTTGGGAGCCTTCCAAGCTCAAAATGGTGTAGGGAATTTCCCGAGCATCCTTCACAACCCCTGCTTCTCCTATTAAGTTAGTCAAAAAGTTTGATGTTTCTGACTGAGGAAGAAGAGATTGAGTGTTAGTTCAGTACCCAGAAGTGGCCCTTCTGGTTTTGCACTAAGAAAAAAAAACAGGCAACACTATGAAGGTAATCAGGGAAGGTGCTGAGGTGAAGGGTCGGGGCAAAGGTTAAAGGTGACTCTCGTCCCTTGCCACCTCCAGGTGTTGCAAGCCCTGGAGTTTCTCCATGCCAACCAGGTGATACACAGAGACATCAAGTCGGACAACATACTGCTGGGCATGGACGGCTCAGTCAAGCTCAGTGAGTAGTGACAGCCTGGGGGGTGTGTGGCCTGGAGGGGAGGGGGGCTTTCCTCTGGACTGTGGAAATGAGGTTGTGTGTATAGCCCAAAACGGAGCTTTGAGAAAGAAATTCTCTGAAATGGAGAAATGCCGGATGTGTCAGTAAATGTTTATAAAAGATATGTCCTTCTATACAGTATAAATCCTGCTATTTTCCATCTTATATTTGGTGGCTCTATCTGTTGAAATTTGACACTGTTGCTTGCAGTGCTCTAACATCTTTCATTTGACAGAATTTTGGCCAATATCTCATCTTTGACGGACAAAAATTGGCATGTTAAGGTATAGAAAGAGATGTCATTCAAGTAAGCTTAGTCTGCCAGAAAAATTTGCCCCTGAAAATGCAATTCAGAGGGTCAAGATTTCAGAGGGTCAAGAAATAGCATTTTAGAGGGTTTCTGGAGAGCATGTGCCTTTGGCACTCGACATGATGTTACATCAAAGAAAATTGAGATGACAGCAAACATTTCAGGAATACTAGAACGCTGGTTGCTTGTCTTCTTGTAATTAAGTTAACATTGTGTTCAATTTCACATGACCTCATCCAACAGTCCAGATGTAGGACCCCTCCACAGATCAGGTCATCCTCACGCTAGGTGGTGGCATGAGTGTTGCCATGTCAACGGTAGAACTCCACCCGTCTTGTCAGCCTGCCGTTCTGTAATGTACTAACCTGTTTATCACGTGTCTGTCACACTGTTATGTCACAGTCAAAAAGCATGGCTCAACTTAGTCACTCTGGTTGTCTCCGTGCATTGTATTTTTACACATGTACAGTATTCTTAGGTTTTAGTAAAATTCCAGACTCCTGTTTGGTCACAGTACCTTCTTGAAAATAAGCAAAACAAGTACATTTTCAGACATGAATCCACTCAATTTGGTTAAACTGCTTTTTTTATTAGCACATAAACATTTATTACTGTATATTTTCTGTCATTTGTAACATCTGTGTCCATAATATCACCAGGGTCCATAATATCGCCATCTTGAGAAAAAGTGTGCTTAAATATATTTTTACTGCAACATACCCTAGGGATGTACATTTGATGTGTGCAGGAGTGCATACCAACAGTATGTTGGAGTAAAAATATCTTAGAGCACACTATTTCTCAAGGTGGCGATATTATGGACCTTGGTGATATTATGGACACAGATGTTATAAAGTGCCTAAAACTTCTTTTGAAGAGCAAAAGTATAGAACCCTTATATTGTCCATAAGCACAAAAAGTTCAAACAAAAATTCACTTTGTTTTGAATGGTATACATGTGTAAGTTACAGGGTTAGCCATGCTTGTTTAAGTGTTGATGTACAGATTGTGTTTTCCATAGTGACGTTGACTGTTGTGTATGTTTTCACATGCAAGTCACCAGCATGTTTATTGTTGTTCATGTCATGGTGTCAGTCATTTCTTTGAGTAGTACTAGTGGAGGCAAACAAAGAGCACAAACAAGGCAAAATGCTTGTAGTCCATGAAAAAATTTTCCCTACAAAACACGTTCTTAAGTCCATGACCTGTTTTTGGTCTTCTTCTGTGACAGACTTCCCTCAGACAGAGTTTCCTCACCTGCGCCAAGGTGTCGGTTAGTGCCCAGTTCAGCACTCTACATTTGCAAAGGAAATGCAGAGTCATGTACTGTTGCAACTACATTTTGTACATGTACTGTAAAATGCATTTATGGTGGCTTTGTTTTAGGGTACCAGAAAAAAGGAAGCATTTGTGTTTGAGACAATAAGTAGTACAGTAAAACTATGTAAGTCATATATGTGGCGTTATAATTTTTGCGGTAAAAAAAAAACGCAAAAATAAAACCACCACGAGCATTTCTGCATTACAGTACACCAGGAAAGGCTTTGAGGTCATTGGAAATGACTTTTGTGACAAGATATTGGGAGTCGCTTGCATGGCTTCTTGTCTTGTTTGTGCTTGAAGTTCCTCTTGAAGTCGTACTCCTCCTGTCTTTTTTTTGTACATTTGTGCATTATTTGGTGGTTTCTTATGTGTGTTGTAGTTCTTGACATAAGAATGCACACAGAATGTAGAAAGCTGTATTGTGGTGACTGTTAATGCACAGATATTTGTGACTGGAAAACTTTTTTTTCTGTAAGGGACTTCAAAATAAATTATACTGTTATGGACTGTTTCATGAAAAAATTGTTCCTTCTCTTGCCAACATCCAAAATTTATTTTAAAAAATTTGATTGTCACTGGTCAACTACTGTATATGATTGTAAATCTCAAATGACATTTCATTTGAAATAGTGCTAAAAATAGCCTTGACATCAATAAGATGTAACAACAAAAGCAATGTGGATGGATGTGTAAATTTTTATTGTAAATATATGTAATTGCAATCATGAAAACTATGTGTAGATCTAATATCATTTCAATGCTAAAAAATGGACAAAAAATTTGAAAAGGAAACGCAAGAAAGGAACAATTATTGTTCAGTGTATGTGCACACTGTTTAAAGTTACAATAAAAAAACCTATGGATTTTATTCACTAACTTAGGTTGCTGAATTTTTTTTTGCAGCTGACTTCGGCTTCTGCGCTCAGATCACTCCTGAGCAGAGTAAGCGCTCCACCATGGTGGGCACGCCGTACTGGATGGCTCCGGAGGTGGTGACACGGAAACAGTACGGACCTAAGGTGGACATCTGGTCACTCGGCATCATGGCTATAGAGATGGTGGAGGGAGAGCCACCTTACCTGAATGAGAACCCACTCAGAGTGAGTACATGGCTACAAGTCTATACCCTGTTTCAGTCTGACTTGATGGCCAGCAGCCACTGGTTTTGTTAGAAAACTTTGCACCGTCCGCGGCTGCCACACAGGTGTTGTAAGGTTCCAAGTTTGTGTTAGGCTACCTACATGTACACACTAAAAGATATATAGTTAACTATTAGTCAGTCAGTATCAGTCAATATAACTAATTAAAAGGTAACAGTAGTCCCATAGCCTTTTTTAGGCTATATTAGGGCAGTGTGTTTTCGTTTGTCCACTGTGCTGTTCATATTGCGGAAAAACAAGAAATCAGAGATTAAAGACTTTTGATGCTTTCTTGTACTTCATGAAATCTAATTTTTATGCAGAGTACCGCAGCTAAAATTTGTCTGGTGTAGGATATTTGCAATGCAACATGTACCTGCACCAGTATAGGTATGCAGTAAATGTAATATGTTCACTTGTCTACTTCCCCCAGGCCCTGTACCTGATTGCCACTAACATCACCCTGAGAAACTGTCACCAGTGTTAACTTGTGTCTCCTTCCCTCCAGGCCCTGTACCTGATTGCCACTAACGGCACCCCTGAGAAACTGTCACCAGTGTTAACTTGTCTCCTTCCCTCCAGG